AGTAACAATTAAACTATAAAATGTATATTTTACCCTTAATGAAATGATTTACAGCCACAAAAATTTATATCATTCATTTTGAACCATAAGTTTTAAAAGTCTTCATTTCTTTCTTAAACTCTGTGTCAAGTCAAACTACCTCACATAAAATGGAACGGAGGGAGTAATAAATATCCAAGTTAAGAAGGGTAATTAAGATTTAAGATAAACTTTATAAATTTTCATGTCCCTGCCAATATTTACACTTTTAATTTACTTTTTTAAAAAAGAAATCGTAAATGTGGAAAAGGAAGACTAGATCTAGTAAGTTGTTAGGTTCAAAATCATAATTTGAAATTATAACTTTCTATATGAGATACATAAGATGATTGTGATATAAAATTTGTCTTAATTTTAGTTATATCATCTACTAAATGTAGGACATATTTAATTGTAAATTTTATATTGGAATAATCAGTTAATCCTTTTAACTAAACGATAAGGAAGAATATTTTTGATCAACTTTTAATCGTTTCTCTAATTTTTGTAAATTAAATAGTATGAACAAACATTTTTATTGATGGATATGGAATATAATAGTAATTTGATTTTTTTTTAAAATAGTGATTGTGGAAAGCAGGGGCGGATCATAATTATGATTATTTATTTTACTTTCTATATGAGATTAAATAATTTTATGATGGTAATAAAAAATTTATCTTGATTTTAATTATACCCTCAACTAAGTTCATGATATATTTAGTTTTAAATTTTATATGTAGATAATTGGCTAAGTTCTTCTTACTAAACGACTCCTAAGTTCGGAAGAGACTTTTTGACAGTCAAAAGCTTTAATTCCTTCATTTGTGATGAAACAATACGAACAAACAGGGGTTTCCTCGAAAAGACGAGGACTCACCAAACACTGTTGCTAGCTGATTAGAGATAGTACTAATCATCAATATTAGTCACATTTCGTTGAAATAAAACCCAATGTTTTAGCTCGCTTTTTTCATCAACATATTTTTTCATTTCTTCCCTTACACCATCCGGGCATTTTTCACACCCTGAGAAGTCCTTGTAAGTACCAACTAGATGTTGTTTGTGATGAAAGATTCCGCCATTAGTAACGTTTTTACAAAAGTTACATTCAATTGCGTTCCTATTGGTCTCACTTGTTCTTTTCCCATAGTTTTTTTTTTGAAAGCAAATTTATACCACTAGACAGTGGTATAGTGGCTTATTATTAATAATAATCATAAAAAATTTTCAATAGGAATAAGTACAAGCAAGGGAGGCTAGGTCCTTACCAATCCTAATGAGGTACCTAACCTCTACTAATTAACAACCATAAAGAAAATACGAGCTAGAGAGAACTAGATATTCTATGATCATCACAAAGTTTATATTACGCTCTATGATGCTATTACAAGTGAGGATTCTTGAGTAATGAAAAATCATAAAGGTCAAGGAGAAAGTTGAGTTATCGACCTCAAACTTCCTTTTATAGATGTATGAACTAAACAAGATAGATTGACCTTCTAAAGGAACCTGAAATATGTTTCTCCTGTCTTCTTCAAATTTGTCCAATAACAGTTGACAATTCCAACCGGGGTCAGCCATTTTTAATTGCTGTTAAGATCAAAGAAACATAATCAGCACTATATTTTAATCACTGTAACAATATACAATCACTGTTAAGAAAAATAATCAGCAAAACAGAGCAGAGAAACAGCAATGTTGGTACAGTAAAACAGAACAGAACAAGACTGCAAAACAGAGCAGAAGAAAAGAGGAGGAGGAAAGAAAGAACACTTACCTGAAGTCAAGAAGCAACAGAATGAAAACCGCGACTGAACTGTCGAGGACTGAGGTTAAACATATGCGCGACTTGTTTTTTCATTCAAAAATGCACTTTCAAAAGGTCAAAAACAAAAAGTATTTTAGTCACTTTTAAGAGAAGATGAGGAGGATAACTCCCTGCTTATTCCTTGTAAAAGTACTACAACACACGGCTACCTACTGTCCTTATATTGTAATCCTCGACCGCCAAATCTTCTTACCTAGAATAATGTCCTCAGTAAGTTGAAGATGTGTCATGTCCCATCTAATCACCTTCCCCAAATATTCTTGGACCTACCTATACCACTCCTAAAAATTTGTTATAGCCAAACTCGCACACCTACTTACCTGGAGCTTCCCCGCACTCTTCTTCACATGCTTGAACCATCTCAACCTTGCTTCCCTCATCTTGTCCATCACGGAGGTCACTCCTACATTGTCTTGTATAGCTTCGTTCCAAATCCTGTCACTCCTAGTATGCCTACACATCCATCTAAGCGTGTGCGTTCTTGACAGGCAAGCACTCCACCCGATACAACTGTGTAGGTCTAACCACCACTCTATCGCATGTAGGTCTAACCACCACTCTATAGCCTGGCTTAAACTAAAACTTCTGGATTTTAGGGTCTATCTCCAAACTTCTAACCTATCATTAAATCCACCATGGGTCTCTCAATCAATACTATGTCATCTGCGAATAACACACACCAGACACATCCACTTGAATATGTTACGTCAATTCGTCCATCACTAAGGAAAATAAAAATGGGCTAAGGGTTGATCTCTAGTGCAACCCTATCATGATCGAGAAGTGTTTTGAGTCACCTCCAACCGTTCTTACCTGGCTCTTTTCTCCATCGTGCATGTCCTTAATTACTCTAATGTAAGCCACACATACACCTCTAGACTCCAAACACCTCCATAGAACCTCCTTAGGATCTTTATCGCATGCCTTTTCTAGGTCAATAAACACAACGTTAAGGTCCCTCTTCCTATCCCTATACAACTCCAACAATCTCCTTATAAGATGGATAACTTTTGTAGTTGACCGCCCTGACCCGAATCCAAATTGGTTCTCGGAGATAGGCACACTCCTCCTCATCTTTACCTCCACCACCATCTCCCACACTTTCATAGTGTGGATTAGTAACTTCATACCCCTATATATAGTTGTTGCAGTTTTGAATATCACCCTTGCTTTTTGTACAAAGGGATCAATGTAAATACAAGTATATTTGTGTACGCAGTAAGAACACGAGGATCACCTCAAAATTGTGTTTAAAACACTGCAAGAACAGTAGCCTTAGGCCAAGTTCGTCAGGTGCGAATTTTTTACTAGATTTGATGAAACTTTTGGGGGATGTTGTATCTAAGGATGGGATTACGGTGGATAATAAAAAAACAGCAGCAGTTCAAAAATGGCGAAGACCCACGAGATTTATACAATGAAACCAACAAGATTTATACAGACCACAAGAGGCTGAATTTGTTATCCAGCAGAAAGATTTGATTCTTCAATTTACAATGATGAATAAAATTACTCAATGACTACGTAGAATTTTACCATTCGGTGTCATTCAGGAAAGAAAATGATGCGGCAGATGCATTAAGGAAATCCATGGGCTATTTGGCTCATATAGCTCCTGCAAAGAGACTTTTGGCCTAAGATATGCATAAACTTGAGGATATCAGTATCAAATTTAGTGTGAGAAACTCAAAGACATTGTTGGCTTATGTTCAGGCCAAGTTTCTAATGGTAGAACACATCAAGGCCACCTAATACAAGGATGGGAAATTGTGTGAATACCGTAACGACGTTCTAGTGATTACAGACAAGGATATGACTTATTGCTGGCTATGAAGGAAGATGTTGCTAAATTCGTTTATAGTTGTTTGGCTTGTCACCAGGTTTAAGCTATCAACAACCCATAGGACTGCTATAACAGTTTGAGTTTCCAAAGGTGAAATGAGAAATCTTTTCTACAGATTTTATGACCAGGCTACCACGAACCCTTAGAGGTTATGACTCTGTGTGGGTATTTGTAGAAACCAGATACCCAGTACACTTTTAACGGTAAAAACCGGATACAATGGAGAAAATATGCAGAAATTATACATGAATTAAATTTTCCGACTCCATGAGGTTCCAGTGTCCATCATTTCTGACAGAGGATGACTGTTTACTGTACGCTTTTGGAAATCTTTTCAATACATGAGTAGATCTTAGTTCCATATTTCATCCGGAGACAGACGACAATCTGAGCATACTTATTAGATGACATGTTAAGAGTTTGCATTCTTGATTTCAGATGTTTATGTACCATTAGCAAAATTTTCCTACGACTATGACTTTCAGTCAAGCATTCAGATGGCTCAATATGAAGCCTTGTATGATAGGCAGTCATTCTTTCATCAGACAGTTTGAAGTTGGTGAGGCTAATGTATTGGGACTAGACTGGGTACAGGAAGCTCTGGACAAGGTCTAGCCAATCAGACAGAGGATGCTCACAGTTCAAATAAGATAAAAAGACTTATGCGGATAAGTGAAGAAAAAACTTTGGGATAGTTTGGTACAAAAATTAATAACGCAGTGGTTAGTAATGCTAAATGGAGGGTTTATTTTATATCAAGTGTTTGGTTCATTGTTTCCCACCAAATCTTATGTTCGGATTAAAACTCTACGAAAAGCTTCTTTTATCTTTTATTTGAACTGTGAGAATCCTCAAGTTTAGCTCTTTGCTAACATAATTTTAATTTAGAACTCTTAGAGTAGCGACGTTAATCATTTTTATTAGTGTCATGAGTAGTATTCGTTTTCTCTAAAATACCAATAAGAATTGCTTGGAACACTAGCTCCTAAGCGCTGGTCAGGATCCTAAATTGGGTCGTGACATGAGAATACAAGGAAATAAATTTGTGTAAATGAGAATTCCACCAAGTGAAGGGTATATTAGCTCTACTGATAATTCAGAAGCAACAAAAAATCTGCAAAATAAATGGAGACAATAAATATAAGTAAAAGTTCACATTAAAAGCTAAAAGGTAGTTTTCACAAAATCCTCCACAGACCATAGGACAAACAAAATCAAATTTATAATGGTTCAACATCTATTTCTCATCTTCATTAGCTTCATCAACTAGCTATAATTGTTGCATTCTATGACTGTTGAAGGAAGTGACTATTCAGTAGCTTCACCTTCTTCCATATCTTCATCTTTATCATCACTAGTATTAGTCACATCCGCTTGAAGTAAAGCCTGACATTTTTGTTCCTTCTTTACATCAACATATTTCTTCATTTCTTCCCTTACAGCATCTGGGCATTGTTCACACCGTGAGACGTCCCTGCAAGTACCAATAAGGTGCTGTTTGTGACGAAAGATTCCGCCATTAGTAACTTTTTTACAAAAGTTACACTCAACTGCGGCCTTATTGGTCTCGCTTGCTCTTTTCCCATATTTCCAACCCGGGTCAGCAGTTTTTAATCGCTGTTAAGATCAAAGAAACATAATCAACAAGATAAACAAAGTAATTGAAATAACAAGTAGTAGTAAAAATGAAGAATAAGATACTATGCAAGTACTACTAAATGAAGAGAAGATGAGAATAACACACGACTACCTACTATTCTTACACAAATCAACCAAATATTTGCAAAGAATCACCGATCAATTTCAACTCCTTCGAAGTACCTGTTCAGAAACTTTGGCAGATATTTGGACTTGAACCACTACTCTAAATACTCAAGGTAATACTCCCACCGTATCCATTTATAGACTTGTGACTAGTCTTGGACTTCACTTTCGCATTTGGAGATGGACTTAGTATTATTGTGTTGCGAATGGCTACTGATGAAGATATTACTTGTTTAGTTGATATTGATTGGTTCTATTGTTGATTCTGAGATAGGGGAAATTTTTGGATAGCCCTAAAGTGGAGGAAATCTGTCCGATTTTCTATTAATTATCAATAAGCATTGCTTTGAACACTAGCTCCTAAGCGTCGGTCGTGGTCCTAAATTGGATCGTGACATGAGAATACAAGGAATAAAAGTAAGAACAAGATATTTGACCTTCAGCTTGGGTTTCCGTTGAGACTTCTTGGTTGCGCTATTAGTTGGTTCCCACTTGAACGTAGACCCCTTACCGTCATTCAATATCTTTGTGTGCTCATTTCCTCCACTAGTTATACAGATCACTAGAGTAGATTCATCATCTGTTGAGTCATAAACTGGAAGATCATCCACGATATATCTGCAGTAAGAAATCCCGATTGAAATAAATATCCAAGAATTAGAAGGAAATGAGTAAAAGCTGTAGCATTCAAACTATAATATCATGGACAATTTTGATCCGATGAAACTCATAAAGCACTACCTGAAAGTTTTTCTTATTTCTGCTACAAATAAGTGAACTACCTCAATTATATCATTTAGTTAGAAAGTAAAGGTCAAGTCATCTAACAGTAAACCAAAATAATACAAGCTTCAACTCTAATGTTTCTCTTTTACATAGAGAATCAAGATGTAGAAGTAATGGAGCTCCTGAAACAAATCAAGTTAACAGAACCAGAGTCTTAAGATTTGTACAAACTACAAAAAAACAAAGTTGAGCATTACCTGTCATCCCCATCTTCCCAGACATGGTTGTACTCCTAAGCAAAGATAAAAAATGGAACAAAAGAATAACATATGAGACTGACAGATTCATATCGAATTTAGAAGCATCTATTATGTTTTAGAGTACTGAAGAAAGCATATATCAACAGGTAGCTCTTTCCTCCCCTTTCTTTGTTATGTTTACCAATATGAGCACATCTACCACACTCTTTCTAATAAATTTCATTTGAATTACTAAGTTCTACTATTTACGTTAGCTGGGATTATCGTTCCTTTTCAGACAATCTCAAATGAACTGTGAAATCTATGTCCAGTGTCATAATTCAAAACCCATTAAGATTGTGTATCAATGTCTCAGGATTAGAACACAGTGCTCTCATCCTGGAAGACAGTGACAATCAGTTTACATCTATTGTCCCATTGATCAACTATGTTTTAAATGAAAAAAGAGAAGAAGACATCTACTACAACTATGTTATAAATGAAAAAAGAGAAGAAGACATCTACTACAACTATGTTATAAATGAAAAAAGAGAAGAAGACATAAATTGTTGTGCTATAAATTCAAGCATAATAAGCAATAAGCATTTATCTTTTTCATTTTATCGGAGCAATAAGATTTATCCTGAACGACTTCCCTTTTCAGCTTCAAATGCAACACACTGAGTTTGACAAGGATACACCATACTACAACATGTGACTTGCGGATTGTAGCATGTGATTAGCAAATTCAATCTATATGCATAAATCATTACTCTGTTTGTTGTCTAAAATCTGGGAAGAAGGAACATGTGATATGATACTACAAAGGGTATTTAAGATATAACAATTCATAAGAAACTTAAGTTACCCGGAATCGTCGACACTTGGCACCCAAAAATAAGGAACAGTTTGCAGCTCCACACAGACAACGAACATTTGCACCCCCGTAGTACCACTCAAAACTATATTCATATGTCAGCTCCATTCCAACAGATATATCTTGCTTCGCAAATATACCTACCCTTGTTTCCCCCGACACTATCCATTTACTTGTTTCACAATTTGGACTGCTGTGAAATTCAGGAAGACACAGTATCAGTGCAATCAATAAACACCAATTAACCATAGCAATATGTTACTACCTGACCAAGATAATTATCTTATTTCGCTTTTCATCAATTTGACAACCGGAGTTCTAGCACTTACCATGAATGATTTATGAATCTTGCAAGACTTCCCTTCCGGGTGAAGTCAATGAAATCATTACCATCCACAGAAATTATGTACACGTCCTTGAGGTCTGCACAAATCATATGAAATTATAGTAGTGATCTGTTTATGTATTACCAACCATCTCTAATGTTGATAACTTACCATGAGATTCATATGCCTGAGATCTTTTCTTTACTTCTTCAAATGATATCACTTCTCCACAACATTCAATGATGAACTGTCCAGCCTATCATGTGAAAAGAGAGGAACAATTAAGAATAGACCATAAATACAGTTACTGCACAATGGCCTTTAAGATATTCCACAGAAAGCTCGAATTTGATAGGCTCAGTTCTAGATTTTTGGTGATGAAAAAAAATAAACTCTTTTTATATATGCCGAAACTGTGCTATACAAACTAATGGTCAAAAATAATTTAAATAGGGGGTTGCTTCAGCAGAATTACCTTTATATTCTCATCAGCTAAAAGACCCCAACCACGCCCTTCAGTCCTGAACAACTTACTTTTTGCATATTCACATTTCTGGAATCTCTGTGGACAGCAAGAAAAATACTTCAAAACAATCCAAATGACACTCACTGTCTTTTTTCTAATACGGCACTGAGTAGAATCTCCTATTAGTTATTGAAGCAATCATCACATATAAGGAACCACAAACTCCTCCTCACACTAGATGAAAGGATAAATTTAAGTGAAGAAAGATTCTCAACACAAAAAGAACTAAATAACAAGCAGCAATTATTTTTAATTTCATTTTTTTGTTTATAAAGGAATAACTAGGAGCAATTATGTCATACGACAACTGCTTGGAACAAAGCGAGTTCAATCAAACAGAGATTTCCAGTTCCTCAGCATATATGATAGATAAACCACTAATTCTGAAGCAGCATTTAATCACACCCCAATGAAATAGGAAACCTTTTGTACAAATATAGAGATCATAGTTGCATTTTCTCACAAAATATCAATCAAACCCAAATATCACACCTTCTCGGAAAACCTTCTAGCCGCAACCAAATTTATTAAGCAAATGAATCACCATTTACAGTTATAGAGAGCACATGACCTCCCTGGGGTATCACATATGCAACGATGACACACTTTGTTGCATGGCCATAGAATAAAATTTTATAGAGCTCGGCTTCCTCATATCACATAAATCTCTAGATGTTCACTGGTTGGTGGTTTGCAACATACGATGGAGCTCCTTTATAGGAGTATAGTCTACACAAAATAAGGAAGATTTCCTAGTCACAAGGATGCCTAATTATACTTATAATACAACCATTAAAAGTATTATTTTTTATGATCGTGGCATTTTGGCCCCTTGCGCGCACCTAGACTAATTCCATGGGGTACCTACTACCTCCCACTTGCACAAATACCAGATAACACAGTCAATCAAAGGCTCTTACATATCCAGACTGTGCCCAAAAAGACATAGCAAGAGTAGTATCAGTACATACCACACGTACTGGTAGGCATCATCGGTCAACCCGATTCCTACCACATAATATAAGAATTCAATTAGCAAGATCATGCAATAAAAACCACTTGCTCCTCCACCTTTACTCTCTCTCGAATACCTCAGAATTACACTAGCACCCTTACTACTACTTCCGTTTCAGTCAACTCACCTTACTAGGTTCTTAGTCATGGCCTAACCATTCTAACCCATAGAAGAGTTCACAATTACAACTACCAACATTTCCTTGAACCATCAACCCTACACAACATACCCTTGCCTTTTCTTCATCTTACCCAATCCTTGCCACCTGGTGCCTCTTATCAAGGCTTCCTAACCTCAAACCACGAATCCCTTGCAACACCCGGACAACCTTTCTCTCAATATTAACAACTCTTGAACCCTTGGCTCTCCCCGGCTCGTTCAACAATGAGATACATAACGAATTAAATCAACATAGTAGAACAAATAGATATAGGTCATCACCTTCTTTTAACCCTTCAGGAGCAATACAACATCAATTATCACTTAAGAACAATGTACAACTTCACAATTAATAGATATGCAATTATGTCAAGTCATTGTCCTGTCATGGAACCCAAACCCAAACTGTTAGCATACCGAAACGTGGTACCCGATCCAATGTTTATGCCGAAACGTGGCAACCGATCCAAGTTAGTGTGTCGAAACGCAACACCCAATCCACTCAACAAGCCACAATCACAAGTATATTCTCAAAATCATACAATCAAGTCATGATTCATGGCGTTCATCATTCACCTATCTCATTTACTACTAGTGTGACCGATAATTGCAAGATTCACATACATACATGTATTATAATGAAGCAAGAGCAAACATATGTCACACAATCATGAAATCACAACCATCACCTACCCCTAGTTCATCGTCTAAGGCTTCTTCCTAGGATTTAATTATCTCTTATTCGGTGCACGAAGGCCTACACATAAATCCTACCATTGAATTACATTATATTTTGCAGTGAAGACAGATTTATAACTACTCAATTAATAAACCTAGCCTTCCTGGGCGCCAAGTAGTTGCACGGAGTTTTTGGCTTCGATTCTTATTTTCGGACTTCATGAGGGTGATCTTGACCTGAAATCCGCAATCCACCGCTCTCCTTACGCTAGAAATCTCCTTCTCCTTCCTTCCCAATCTTAGAGCAGCTTTTTGGGGGTTTCTAAGGTGGTTTACATCTAAAATAGGTATTTTAGGAAAAAGGAGAAAATAAGATTTCGTGTTATTTACATTCTGTCTCGCCTATCCCGCTCAAGCGCCAGCTTACCCCGCCGTGGCGCCACTACCCTAGCGGCATCTGGCCCTCTTTGGTGGGACAGTGGCCCAGTATTTTTCCAAAATTTGCTTTTCCTAAATAACGACGGTTCGGGTCGTTACAAAACTAGAGCACATTTGGAATGAACAATTACATCATACACAAACAATAAGGTTTAGATCTAAACTCTTCAAACTTTTTCCATTTTACCCTAGGGAAATGTCACCGAGACTTCCTAGACTAGAATAGAAAAATAATCTTTAAACTAAGAAAAAATGTTAAATAAAGAAAATAATATAAGTTCATAGATCTAACTCTTCAGTATGTATCTAGATATATCAAATGCAAAAACGAGTGTATTTTTAAAATCCAAAATCAAAAAAGTAAAATCGTACCAAAATTGGCTTTTGAAACGCCCTCGCATCTGCTTTTGATTTTGCTTTTGCTTTCTCGATCTTCACTTTTTCTTTATTCATTGTTATTATTTTTTACCGTATGCTGAAAAGGCTAGAAGGCGCAGTGGAGTTTGGCTAGGAATAACTTTGTTCGAGAGGTGAACTTCGAAAATCAGCTTTGCCCAAAAAATTTGGAAATCAAGTCACTTAGTCGAAATAGAAAACTATAAATAAAGGGAGGCTAAGGTTATGAAGTAAGGTCATCTGGTTAAGGAAAGTTCACGTTATGCTAAGTGATTTCATAATCTAAGGTGTTAGCTGGTTAGGTCAGCTGGTTAAGGAAAGCTCGCTTAGCTAAGCGATTTCATAATCTAAGGTGTTGGCTGGTTAGGTCAGCTGGTTAAGGAAAGCTCACTTAGCCTAACTAACACCCTAGATTATGAAATCGCTTAGCATAACCTGAGCTTTCCTTAACCAGCTGACCTTACTTCGTAACCTTAATTAGCCTCCCTTTCTTTATAGTTTTCTAGTTCGACTAACTGACTTGATTTCCCAAATTTTTAGGGCAAAACTGATTTCCAAAGTTCACCACTCGAAAAAAGTTATTCCTAGACAAACTCCACTGCGCCTTCTAGCCTTTTAAGCATACGGTAAAAAAGAAAAACAATGAATAACGAAAAAGCGAAGATCGAGAAAGCAAAAGCAAAATCAACATCTACACGAGGGCGTTTCGAAAGCCAATTTTGGTACGATTTTACTTTTTTTATTTTGGATTTTGAAAATACATTCGTTTTTGCATTTGATATATCTACATACATATTGAAGAGTTAGATATATGAACTTATCTTATTTTCTTTATTTTAACATTTTTTCTTAGTTTAGAGATTATTTTTTCATTCTAGACATGGAAGTCTCGGTGACATTTCCCTAGGGTAAAACGGAAAAAGTTTGAAGAGTTTATATCTGATGTAATTGTTCATTCCAAATGTGCTCTAGTCCATACCCTTACCAATGATTTGAGGCATTTACTTGAGCAGAGGGTCTATCAGAAATGATCTTTCTACCTTGTAGGGTGAAGTTTATAAGACTAGAGCTGACATCTCTTTTTCGTAAGTGTTGTTAGTAAGTTTATGACTTCCCCCATAAGTCATTGGGATGCAGTTGTTTGTATTCTGCAATATATAAAGTCAGTTTCAAGTAAAGGACTACTTTTTGAGGATCAAGGTTACAAGCATATCATTGGATATACAGATGTTAATTGGGCAGGATCACCATTAGATAGACGTATTACATCTGAATATTGTGTTTTAGTGGAAGGTAATTTGGTGTCGTGGAAGAGTAAGAAACAGAGTGTGGTTGCTCGATCTAGTACAGAAGCAGAATATCGAGAAATGGTTGTAGCAACCCGTGAGCTAGTTTGGATCAAACAATTGCTGAGAGAACTAAAAGTTGAAGAAATCGATCGGATGGAACTTGTGTGTGATAATCTAACGCACCTTCATCTCGCATCAAATCCAATATTTCATGAGAGGACTAAGCACGTTGAGATTGATTGTCACTTTGTCAAAGAAAGATAATCTCAAGAGATATTATTACAAAATTTGTGAAGTCGAGTAATTTACTTTTAAATTTCTTCACCAAGTCCCTCACCATTAGAGGTGGAGACTGTGATATGTTCATGGAATGTTTTGAAGAGGATCTCACCTCCTCTAAATCGGACGGTGAGGCTACCAGGGATCATGAAAAGAGATATTCATCGATTAAATACCCCCTATGGATTCTCTAGACACAACAACCAAGCACAACCTACCTCCAAGGAACCCCTCCAATCCGGGAGGATGCTCTAACATTACCATCAAAGTTGCCACAACCAATATTCAAAATCAAATAACCCCTACAACTAATGTTTCCAATGGTTAGCTTCGTATCATGGAATATTAGGGGAATAGGATCCAACGGTTCCTTGGAAATATTACTCCTCTTTAAACAACAATTTCATTGTCCTCTCCTCTACCTACAAGAACCTATGGTTACTTGTGATAAAATGGATAAATTTAGAAGAAAGCTTGGTTTTCATCAGGCCTACAACAACAGTTCTAACAAAATCTGGATCCTTTGGTTGAATGACATTGATGATGAGGTCATTCATGATTGGGAGCAACATGATTTTCTCAAAGTTATTCATAATGTTGACCAAAATTTTTTCCTTTCAGTTATCTATGCCAAATGCACAAAGCTGAGGAAAAACCTATGGGCAGAATTGAGAGTTATAGCAAAAATTATCCAAGACCCTTGGGGAGCAACAGACACCTTTAACGTGGTGGTATCCAGTGATGAGAAATTTGGAAGAAGACTTCATAAAATGGAAGAAACTCTTGATTTCATTGAATGCCTTAATGAGTGTGGTCTTCAAGATGCAGGTTTCTCAGGTTCTAAATTTCCTTGGTGCGACAGTAGAGACCCCCCTAACAATATTTGGGGAAGATTGGATAGACTTGTTTATAACTCTTAATGGTATGATATGTATAAGGCTACTAATTTTACTCACTTATCCAGAACGTGCTCGGACCATGCTCTACTTTTGGTTAAGATGAATAATGATACTCCTCCCACTATCAAATATTTCAAATTCTTGAATATATAGGAGGATCACTCTGACTTCTTGGATATAGTTCAAAACTCTTGGAATGAAGAAGTCAATAGGAACCCCCTGTATATCCTTTACCAGAAAATTAGCAAGACTTACAAAGCTATGAGTTCTTGGTCTAGACAAGCTTTTGGGGACCTCTACGAAGAACCTAAGAGACTTGAAAGCCAAATTCAAGCTCTTGAAGACAACAATGTAACCAAAAACACCGGAGATAACAAGAGAGATCTCTCTAAGCTCAAGGCCGAATTCACTAGATTTCTCAAACTTCAAGATTCTATCCTCAAACAAAAAGCTAGGGTCAAATGGCTTGAAGGAGATTCCAACACGGCGTATTTTCTCAACATCATAAGAGACAGGAGAAAAAGGTCGAACATTAGGAAAATTATGGATGAACACAACAACTGCCTAAAAGGAAATGACAAAATTGCTGAAGGGGCTATTAGATTTTACAAGAATCTCTTTACTTATGACAATACTAACCCTGATTATAGCTCCCTTAATATTCTTCATAGGTGCATCACAAAAGAGGACAATGATATGTTTTGCACCCTTCCAACACTCAAAGAACTTCAGGATTGTGTATTCTCTCTAGATCTCGATAGTGCTCCTAGACTGGATGGCCTAAGTGGGTACTTTTATCAAAATACTTAGAGCATCATTGCATCAGATCTCCATAAAGCTGTGACTGTTTTTTTCGCAGGTGATATCCTTCCAAAAAATTGTATACTCATACTTGTCTTGTTCTTATTCCTAAGATTGATCACCCCCAATCTTTTTTTTGATTTGAGATCTATCAGTCTGTGTAACGTTTTTAGTAAAATTATTTCTAAAATATTGACTAACAAATTGACCTCTGTCCTTCCTTGAATTATCTCCAGGAATCAAAGTAACTTTTTTGATAACCGAGAAATTCGTCTATGACCCGTCACACTTTGAACCAATCACAGTCTTTTAAATTCGGTGAATAATGGGCCCTCCCCTCTACCCTTCTCCACTCAAATATCGGGCTTCTCTTTGCATGGTGTGGGGCTTGAACCTGCGACCTAAGTCACAAATCCGCCACCTTTTGCCACTCGAGCTAGGCCTTGGGAGCAGGAATCAAAGTAGCTTTCTCAAAGGCAGAGCCATTACTGGAAACATTCTTCTTGCCCAAGAAAATATTAGTGATCTTGGCAAACCTAACAGAGGGGGCAATGTAGTGATGAAACTAGATATGACTAATGCTTATGACAAAGTCTCCTAGACTTACCTCTGCCTTGTTCTTAGGCATCTTGGTTTATCTAAGCATTGGTTTTACCTTATCCATAATTATATCTCCAACAACTGGTATTCTATAGTAGTAAATGGAGGTCGTCATGGTTTATTTAACTCTTCTAAGGGTTTGAGGTACGGAGATCCTCTTTCCCCCTTCCTCTTCATTCTGAGCGTTGAATTGTTGTCTCAAATGCTTTACAATCTGCATAATCACACTGCTTACAAGAATTTTTATATGTGCAATAATAGTCCTAAAATTAATCATTTAACTTCTGCTGATAACACCATTAGTTTTTGCGATGGTAGCAAGAGATCTATCAAACTAATCACTGACATTGTAGATAGGTATGAACAAATATAAGGTCAACAGATCAACAAGAACAAGAGTAGCGGAATACTGTTACAAAGAACTCCATTGCTAATTTTGTTATTCATGCTCTCCCTCCCCCGCCCCCAATAATTTGTTGGGAGATATGGAGAAAGATGCTCTAAGGAATTTGATGCTATTAAGCCTTCTGTATACAGATCTAAAGCTAATATTCTTTTTACCATTGTGCATATTACTAAGAAGAAATTTGGCAAAGCTAACATTGTAGAGTCTTGGAGAAATATACACTACATTTTGGATGCCGAAATTCACCACAGAACCACTACCATAAGTAAGTGGATAAAACCTCCTAATATGTATGTAAAACTCAACAGTGATGGTAGTTGCATTCAAGGTCGTTGTGGTGGAGGTGGTCTGATCAGAAACTCATTGGGAAATCTGGTGTTTGCTTAGTGCATCAATTGGAAACTAGCACGAGTAACATCGCACAAATAGCAGCTCTTCTTTATGGCCTTAAATGGTATGCTAATAGAGGCTTCTCTAATGTCTGGGTTGAAACAGACTCCATGTTGTTAACTAGATGTATTAAAAGAGAATGGGACCCACCGTGGAAGATCAATGCCGGGAAATTAATTGAAGAGCATGGTTACCATATTAGTCATTGCTTTAGGGAGGCTAATAAACCTGCTGAAAAAATCGCCAACTTGAGTCATGGCTTTTTTAGGATTTCTCTTCAACTCTTTTTTTATCCTTCCTAAGCAAGTTAGAGGTCTCTCCAGTATGGATAGATGGGATTTCCCAAGCTTTAGCACTAAATCAATGTAACCTGCCAATATTATTTACAAGCCCTCCTAAATTTTATGCATGTGCTCAGTTAGCTTTTGAGCTAATTTGGACACCCCCCCCCCCCCCACCCTCCCCCTTTTCTGGTGCTACTTAGTAGAACAGTCCTACACTGTTATTACCCCTTACCATGTCAAAGTTTAGGATGTCAAACTCAAAGTTGTACTTTTGCCCATATCAATGATCAAAGTTGGAATTTTAAAAAAAATAAATAATAATTAGGAAAGGTAATGGCATGACAGGACTTTTTTGAGCTTATCATAAAAGTTCTAAAATACCACTACTTCCACTCTTTCTCAACACATGATTGTAACACAAATTTGGTGCACTATCCATAAAATCTGTTGTAAATTTAGAAATCGATAAGACCACTGTAAAAGTATAGTAATAAAGAGAAACAACAGAGTAACGTTCAACTAATTAAGAGAATTATCTAATTTACCTGATTTCTGCAAGTTTCACCACACGGACAGTATCCCGGTGTACATTCAATGTTTGTTAATAAATTCAAACATCTTCCTACACATGCACTATTAGGATCACTTGCATCATACTTGCATTCACATATAGCAATATCCTCTTCTCTCGGTTTCTTATGCCTGTAAGACATAAGAAAATTGCAATTAAAAATGACTACCTAAAGCCAAGATCAATGATAATTGAAAACCATTCAACTCCAACTCAAAGTCAACTAATCAAGGTATGCATCATTTAGAAGCTTTAGTTTTGGAAGTCAAAATGCTATAAACTACATAATAAGAAATAGGACACAAAAACTTTCTAAGGAATGAAACAAGAACTTATTTCTCTTTCACAAAAAAAAACTAATTTTTTGTATCTCAACTTATAGAACAAAGAAAAGAAAATGAAACATAAGCATTATTCAACATTAGTTTCAATTCACAAAAAGTTCTTCCTTTTAAGCTTGACCAGATAATCACAACCCGCAATTCAAATTTCTTGTTTACTCATTTTCTTGTCATTGAATTCATACTCCCATGGCATCCTTGTCACAACATGGAAAAAGATACAATGTTTATCGAAGTTTAATCTCTTTTTTTATTAGTGGTTTTTGAAAGCTTTATCTTAAAAGTGAAAGCAATGGCAATAACCAATCTCTTTTTTTTTTTAAAATGGTAATGTTAACGTAATGCAATAACCAATCTTTTTTGCATAGTTATTGTATCTAGATCTTAGATACGCAAACTAACTGTTTCGACCATAATCAATATGTCATCCAAGTGGTACTCACAATTGCAGACAACGTAACAATAATTTAGAAGTATAAGCAACAAGTGTATGAAAATGAACTTCAAAGTTTAAGGGTTATCAAAAGAAAGAATGCAATTAACTGGCAGGAAAATCATCATTAAAAGAAACAAAGAAAGGATTTGAACTCACTTTCGCCATATAAATTCATTTTGAGTAATATGCATAAATGGTGTTACTCCTTCGGGCAGTTGGACCTTCAAAACAAAAGTTAAGAATTCATCATTACTTGATGTAAATAGAATGGCATATTGTAATGCAAAATCACGTATATAAGCAAAGGGTCTGCATTGATTATACAGTCATAAACATTAGTATATAGACATCATTACTTAATGTTAATAGAATGGCATATTGCAATGCAAAATCACGTATATAAGCAAAGAATCTACATTTATTATATAGTCATAAACATTACTATACAATATTATTTTAGCAAATATTCAATCAAATATCATACATGATTACATACACCATGCCATCGATGTGTGCATCCATGTTTTGATGGAAGGGCAGGTGAAGTAACTCGATAAGAAAAGGCACAATTGAATGCAGAAATCATAAAATTGTCATTCCAAACCAAAATGATATTAAATAAGCCCACTTTTTCGATACATAAATTTTATTAATAAAAGCATCAACACTAAGATGGTGCTAGAACAGTAGAACGTGTATGACTATAGCTCTTTCCAGCTGCAAGGAGTCAATATAATCCAAAAGAGTGTAGAAATGATTTACATTTTTCAATAAGCCCACGTTTGTTGAGAGGACAAACCAGATTTTATTGAGAAAGATCAGTTATTGAGGAACTACAACTTTGAACTAGTTAGTTATGAAGGGCAATAATAAAAGTAGTCTAGTCTAGACATGTGTCGACTCAATATCACTTGTTTAAATAATTCTATACCATTTATAGCACCAGAGTCTACTAAAAATGATGAAACTCATATATATGTACTCAACAGAAGACACTAATATCTTCACTTTCTAGTCTTTTTATACTAGTACAGCTATCAACTGATATTCTCAGGATCCAACAACAACATTACCCAGTGATACATTCTTAGGATCAAATTATTGTAGTAATCTTACCACCAGTTCTGATGTCATATCAAAAAAAGAATTATTTTTTTTATCATTAGTTCTCTAGGTATATTGTTGTATCAGTTCTTTGGGTATTGTCTTCTCATGATTTCAGAAGTCTACAAAGTCACACAAAATCATATCCACATTGTTACATGTCATCATCACTCCAAGTGACACATAAATGATCTAACACATTTGGAATGAAGAATACATCATACAGGAACGATAAGCTTTAGATCTAAACTCTTCAATCTTTTCCAGTTTCACTCAAGGAAACTGTTGCTGAGACTTGCAAGACTTAAATAGGAAAATAATTTGTGAACCAAGTAAGAAATGCTAGGATATAAAAACCAAGTAAGAAATGATAGGAAAATAATTTGTGAACCAAGTAAGACTTGCAACTCATCAATAATAAATGTTGATTCTTGCACTCTCTTTTCTTTAATAATATTTATCTATTTTCTTTTGTATCAATCTAAAAAGGGCTTTCCTAGAATGGAAAATTCTCTATCCAAGCATTCAAGTTAATAAGTTAACTTACGTTCACATCTCATATGTTATGTAATGCCTTACTAAATTTTCTATTTTTACACTTTCTTTTCACAAGGTAAATAATTTCATTAATGTTTGGGTCAAAAGGCATTTGAATACAAGAAGTATACCTAAAGGAAAACCCTATAAAATATATGGTTTTCGACGAAAATCACCTAATCTTCTACACAACATGAGACTTCATGGTTACACCAAGAGAAAATAATGGATAGGAGGCTTCTCCTCACCTTAATAAAATTCATCATCTCTGCACCTTCAAAAGTTCTCTCCACCTTTTCGTACTTAAAACTATTAATCTAAAAACTTATTCAAATATTATTTTATAAAAAACTTTTTGTCAACTTAATATAATGAACTATTCAAATGCTTTATTTTAACTGTGTTGGTCATAGTATGCCATTTTTTCATAGGATTGTCAATTTTTCTTTTTTTATTTAGTTATCACCACTAATAACTAGGTCTACCAAGATAAGTTCTCCATACTTGAGAAGATCATTTGAGATTACTAGAATTAGCTTCCATCTGTTGAACTAGTAAGAGAAACATCCAAGGAAACAACATCTTGAATCCCATATGAGAAAGCTACAAATTTGTTTACTCTTTAAACAACACAACCACATAATTACATCCAATTTATTCAATGATCACTTTGCTAATTTGAAGTAGATAAACATATTAAGATGTAAATCTGATTGCAAAAACATTGGTCCAGGTCTAAAAATTGATGGGGGTGTAAAACCTTTTCTTAACCAATGTTCACCCAATGGAGGAACAACGACTCAGAAAATTAACAAGAATGGCAGAAAGAAAAAAATGGGAGAGAAACGTTCTAAGAAGCTAGACAAACATCCAAATCATCATTTTAGGAGTAGAATTTGGTCAAATTATGATTAAATCAATTCTCCTAAAAAGGATCAGTAGCATGGAGTCATTAATCATGATTGGTTATTTTATTTTATTTTTATGACAAGGGAAACCCGCAGCTGCTACCCTTTGGGTGTGCACAGGGTAAAAACCCCGCTCCTATGCAATAGCTCGCAAACCACATAGGAGAGGTAACCCGCACTAGAAAAGCCCGGTGCGACGAGCTCGACCCAGAAGGTAAACCCCTTACTTTCGCTGGCAAGGGGTTTTGAACTTGAGACCTCCAACATGGAAGTCCCAAGCCCAAACCACTGGGTTGGTTATAAAAAATATTATTCTTCAATTAGGTTCCTAATTTGACTTGCCTGAAGAATATTGGAACTCCACTCCAAACCTTGAAGTTAAGTGCAGTGCATGCAACTGGACGCTTTGTCTCGCTTAGGCAAAACTTCAGTACAGGCACCAAGGCAATAATTGCCACTAAAGCTTGTAACTTATCATGCATGAGCTCAACGTTGAAACAGTCACAATAAATAATAAAGTTGTTGTCAATACAAAATATTAATTGTTAAGGAAACTTTGTCAAATAGGAAATAAAAACCTACCAATTTAGTATAGACACTACACTCGAACTAGAAGCTTAAACTCCATCTTTGCATCTGAATCACAAATTTAAAATGATTTTTTAATTTGACTTTCGCGATACTTCATATTTTTCACTTATTCTAGTTATTTTAATACTCTATTCAAAAGAACCGTTTGCATCATATGTTATACGTAAATAAGTAAATAAAGTGTTATTTATCTAACATCTTAAACTTTTACATGAGATGGTTACACAATTCAACATGGTATTAGCGCATATAGAGGCGGTGAACTCAAGCCTCACTACAACCCATTATCAAAAAGCATGTGCATGGTTCATGCTTGCACATGACGAGGCGTGTTGAAAACATAATTAAGTAAATATAATTTGTTCTCTTTCATAAGATAGTTAGACACGTCAACAATATATACATAAGATTACCCTAAAAGTAGTTTGCTTTTGCTCATTACGACCTTTTAACTATAGTGGGGTCTCATTAACCCCCTATACTATTTTGAAGCGGTATTATTGCCACCCGACATAGAGAATGAGATCCACTCTTTTAAAGAGCATGAGAGAAAAAATAAAGAAAAATTTACCACATTTTTCCTTCTTTCCTTTTCCTTTTTCTTTTTTTCTCCTCTCCTCTTCGCTTGTCATACCTTCTACTTTGTTGGTGGTTCCCAAAACTTATTCACTTATGGTGTCCAAAACTAGAAAATTACACCTCTTTATTGAACATAAACAATACAATTTGAGAGCTAGTAGATAAACCAAAAATAGGGATGGATCTGACTCTACTATCATAGTAACAAAATGAACCTACACATAACACAACCCCAATAACTACGTCATGAGGTGAGGATTCTCCAAAACTAGTCCATTTCTTTTACCCATAGGACACTTAACAAATGCCAAAAGTTAGATATTATGTTTTCTTTTCCTTTTGATAGATTAATAATGATGGTACCTAATTAGCTTACGCATATCTTGACTACTAAAATTCATATATGATATAAAAGAAATATCAAACGTATTATATTCCAAGTGGAATTCTATATAAAAATGGATGGTTTGGTATATATGGACAATTTGTAAAAATGTTTTTCCATCATCTAGAAGATTACTCAACATTTGAGAGCCACCACTACTAAACGTGTTACTTAGATTCTCAACAAAACTTATGACTTCCAATTCAATTTGATTCTCTGTTAATGAAAATAAGCACCTGAATTCTCGAGTTGGAAACATCAAGTTTACCCTAAAGAACGAATGATTAAAATTACTTTAAGCATTAGTTAAAGCAAATTGTATGCACATACTTGTGTTGCCAAAGATTTATTAAAGGTGCGGTTAAGCTCTAAAGTTGAGCGAAAAACAGGTTGAGCGCCGCATTTTGCTTAGTTGGTACATCAATGCGGTCATCAAGACACTAAGGTGTATACCTTACTACAAATGGGTGTGGTCCTTAATAGGCAATAGACCTCATTACTTTTTTGCACAATTGCCTTTGAAATCGTATTATATATTTAAGCTTAAAGCTCCAATAGACCTCATTACTTTTTTGCACAATTGCCTTTGATAACGTCGCCTTACACACATGTTAGAGTTACGATTCTCTTCCACAATTGTCTCTATTTCCACAGAGGTGGGAAGCAATACCAATATGCTACCACTTTTGGTTTTAATTTCTCCAAGAAACCATATATGCAACCTCAAAGTGTTAATCTAGTAATACAAACATCAAATAAAAGCTTTCATTCCATGAGAATGATACAGGCAAATTTATATGTTGCTCTCAAGAAGTTAAAGTTAGAGGTAGCTTTAGTCATTTTCCAACGTGCACAAGCGGGAAACAAAAAACATGTTGTTCTTCATTCTTTCTAAGTTTACATCCTCTTGTGTTAAATATTTCATGTGCTTCCAAGCATCACATGATGTAAAGAAAGTATGACCATTGCATCTTTCTTTCTACTTCTAAGATCTCCTTGAATGGATCTTCTTTTATCTCTCTTTTTACCTCGTAATCTTATTACCTCTTGGAGCAAGTAGCTTAGAAATACAATAGTTCCTCAAGAACACACAGTAAGTCCATGCAACATCACATTT